TGTGCCCTGGGTGCCTGCAGTAGGCCAGAGGGAGGGAAGCCAGGGTCCTCGGTGCCTGCAACTGGCCAGAGGAGGGAATCCTGGGTTCCAGGTGTGGGGTGAGGCAGAGGCAGTTAGGGGTAATCAGGCCGGTAGGGGAGCAATTAGGGCAATCAGGCAGGCAGGCAGAGGGGTTAGGGGTGATTAGGTAGGCAGGCGAGCAGTTAGGAGCCAGTGGTCCTAGATTGTGAGAGGCAGTCAGACATCCCCGGAGGGGTCCTACATTGGAGAGGGTGCAGGCCGGGCTGAGGGACCCACCCCCATGCACGAATTTCATGCACTGGGCCTCTAGTTAATAAATTAACTTCTTGTAAATATTTAACCAGGAAGAAAAAACTCTGAAAAGGATATGCTACATCTATACACATAAAAGCCTAAGCGACCAGTCGATCGAACGACCAAATGACTGGTTGACCAGTAGCTATGACACGCACTGACCATCAGGAGGTAGACGCTCAATGCAGGAGCTGCCCCCTGGTGGTCAGTGCGCTCCCACAGCCAACCTCCCACGGCTGGTCAACCTCCCGCGGTCCCTCCCCGACACCAGCCAACCTCCTGCGGTCCTTCTCTCCAGCGGGCCATCCCCGATTGGCCCCTAGGGGGACTGGGCAAGACAACCCCAATGGACCCCGATCACCAGCCAGGCTGAGGGACCCCACCCATGCACAAATTCATGCACCAGACCTCTAGTTATTAAATAAAATAGCACTTGCCAGAGTTGGAAGGAAGGAAAGAAGGAAGGAAGGAAGGAAGGAAGGAAGGAAGGAAGGAAGGAAGGAAGGAAGGAAGGAAGGTTGGTTTTGATCTTAGTCGGGAAAAAAAAAAGGAAGAAAGGAAGGAAGGAAGGGAGGGAGGGAGGGAGGGAGGGAGGAAGGAAGGAAGGAAGGAAGGAAGGGAGGGAGGAAGGAAGGAAGGAAGGAAGGAAAGGAGTCCATACTTAGTAGAATTGCATGTCATACAAATTCACAAAATATCAAAACTAGAATAAATGTCAGTAAAAATAATTAAGTGCAAGGATCTGTTTACTTTGTCATATTATTAAGTATCATGTTATAGGATCAAAATGATTTTTTAAATAATCCAAAAGAGCCTTTGTTTTCTTTAAAAATCTTTCTTTGATAATACTGACTCCGCTAGATAATCTGCTTCTTACTGATAGTCTTCCTTTCACAGCAAGACGCCTTAAAGTGAGCAGTTGGTACTAACCACTTCTCCTTATCTATAGAAATTCTTTCTAGAACTGATAGGAAATGCATGTAGTTTAGTCATTCACTCTTTCATTTATTGAAAATGTGTACCTCAACTTCTTAGAATCTAGATGAGTTTATCTAAGGAATCCCCTCATTTTAAAAATGAAAAGGCTAAGGTTCTGTGACATTAGACATTTAAAATTTGACATTAGACAAGCAACCAGTTAGAGAGAAAGCAAGGACTAGAACACACACACACACACACACACACACACACACACACCTTCTTATAACTACTGTAATTTGGCTTCTTTTATAACCACATTTCTAAAACTCCCAAAAGTCACTTAGTCCCATTTTATCTCATTCCTCATCCATCAAGGTTCTTGACATTGTCCTTTTCTTATTAAACTCCTTTTGACTTTGATACACAATAAACTTCTCTGCCTTCTCTCCTTTCTACTTTTCCCCCCTCTCAAATGCTCATTAACTTCACCTATCACCTCAATGTAGATGACTCCCAAATCCACATTTCCAACCCAAGTCCATCTCCCCAAATTCTTAACTCCAAGTGTCCACAGGGTATTCTTGCCCATTCCTACTTCATTGAACACCTTTCTAATTAGTCAGTTCTCATCACAGATTTCAAACCAGCCATTTCCTGTGATAGGAAACACAGGAGGACCACCAGATCTGGAGGGGAACCATGGTTCAGTCTTGAACATGTTTAACAAGGCATCTTTGTGATATTTCACTGGAAATGGAGAGTTGGCAGGTGAATATGGGTCTTGAGTCTTTTCCATTGTCTCTGATACAAATCCTTAGGAAGTATTTTGTAAGTTTAATATTCCAAAAAAATGACTTTAATTACTCATGTTTATTTCAAAAGAATTATTTTATTTTTAAATTTTATCTTTGGTGTTGAAAGTGTTACAGATACCCCCTTTGTGTTTTTTCCCATTGATCCCCTCCACCCTGTACCCACCCATCCCAGGCCTCCACCACACTGTGGTCTGTGTCCATGGCTCTCCTTATATGCATATAAGTTCCCTGGCTAATCTCTCCCCCACCCACTCACCCACCCCTGCCTTCTCTTTGAATTATTTTAAACTATTAGCACTTTCTGCACTACTTCAGATACAAATGCAATTTTAAGGGCTTCATTGTTTCAACTGAGATAAGCTGATTTAAGTCTTAAAGTTTTCTTTTGCAAATTTAACCATTTCAATGTTTCTGTACATGATGAAGCTTATGCCTGTGCTGCAAGTGGAAAGTATGGCAGCTCAAATTAACCAGCGATAATTCATCCAGATTTCTGCAAATGGTTTGTTTTTTTAGTAACTTGGCAAAGAATATGCAACTAATAAAGGGTAATATTTTCCTATCAGTAGATAATTTTTTTCAGCTTTCCCTCCAGTACAATATGTTATTTTATATCTAAAATGGGTGGATGGGGAGAGATTAACCAAAGAATTTATATGCATATATGCCTAAACTGAACCATGTCCAGCACGGCCAGTGGTGAACCTGAGGGTCAGGAGAGCAGTGAAGGATTAAAAAACAAACAAGAGAATATAGTTGGGGCCAGGTGGATCACTGCACCTGGATGACGAAACAGTGACATGGCCTGTAAGCCAAGTATTTTATAGTCAGATCACACAAAGCACAACAAGGGAGTGGTCAAGATGTTTACAATGTTCTTTTGAGTTTCAAATCTACTTCTTTCCTGTTGTTGCACTTCTCTGAACTCTATCAAACTTTGTTTTGGCAGCACTTGCTGCACCTCCCGCAGTCCACATCCCTCAGCCACCTGGGACCACAGGGTCGGACCATAAGGTCAAGCTTACAACCATAGCCTTTGGCTATAATTGTGCTGGGAGGGCTTTGCCCTCCAAGCTGGGACTTGTATGTGGTTTTGCCACAAGAGAACCACGCCCTCTCATCAGTCTGAGGCTTGAACCTGTCCGAACACTGTAGCTGCTCTCCACATAAACCATGGACACAGACAGTAGTGTGGTGAAGGCCTGGGAGGGTGGGTATTGCATGGAGGGAATCAAAGGGGGAGAAAAGGGGGCATCTGTAATACTTTCAACAATAAAGATAAATTTGTTTTAAAAAATTTCAACTAGGGAGAAACTAAGATGGCGGCAGAGATAAACACCGGGAAGTTGATGCCGCTCACAACAATTGATTAATACCTCAGAAAAACAATACGGACATCATCCAGAACCACAGGAAGCCTGGCTGACTGTAAATTCTACAACTAGAAGGAAAGAAAAGCACACTGAGAGCAAGAGAAGCTGCAGAAGAGAAGCGCAGAGGTACAGGGCTCGCGCGCGCGGAA